ATGCTACACCTTTGACTTTGTTTTGTTCAGTCGCTGCCTAAATTACCATTGTTAGTATTAGCATCTGGCTAAATTTATACTCCATTTCTGGATGTTTGTATTGACAAAAGTGTCAAGTGTCATGTCAATTAACAGGTGGATAACACCACAAATAAGCATGCTACTATACTTTTGGCCTTGTTTTTGTACCCGTTCCAAACTTTAACCATGTTTTTACTGTAGTAAACATAGTTACGCATAGTTATAACATCTGTTATCTTGTTTACCTGTTTGCGTATTGAGTTTCAGCTTGTTATTCTTATCAGTTGTAAAATTATGTTTGGTTTTTTGTAGATATGTTGTTCAATGTAGTGTAACCTATTTTGTTTCCGTGGTTCCTACAGTTACTATAGCTTTACTACAGTACTAATACTACAATATTACTATAGCAACCATGGTTACATACAAAAATCAGGGTAAACCACAGTGCACGCCAAATAAACAGTGTTATCATAGTATTACTACAATATTAATACAGTAAATTCATGGTCTCAAAACCAGGGTTTTTAAAGCCACAAACGCTTAAAAAATAAATAAATAAAAAAATAAAAAACATGGTACCCCTCCTACAGTGGTGTCATAATATCATTATGATATTACCATAGTACAACCCAAGTACGTACCAAAAAACATGGTTACTGCATTCATATTTACTATAGTAAAATCATGAATAATTTTAATAAGGGCAAGACACACACAAATCCTCATATTAAGAAGTAATAGGAATATAAATATGTCAATAGGTGATTTTTACTATCACTTTTAGACTTTTGATTTGTAAAAGCGACCTTAAAAGCATCACTCACATGGCCTTAAAAGCCGGCTCAGTTTGAATGGTGGTGTGACGCTCATGGACCCAGGCTTTGGTCTCCTCCAGTAACCTTTTTCTCTGTTGCTCCGGCTCGTCTTTTGGCCTGCAGTCAAACACGAGGGGTGTTACACTGATCTGTCTGTTTCAGTGAGCGTCTCTCTCTCTCTCTCTCTCCCCCTCTCAACCGGATGAGCTAGTTGCTTTCCTGCTCACAACATCAATGTCATTACTTCAAAGTCTTAGCCTTTTTTTTTTTGGTCAACTGGACAGTCTGTCCACCATGGGATGTGCAATCCTCTCTGTCTCTATATCCCCTCTGCCCCAGTTAACTTCTTCCACCAGCAGAAGTGTAAGTAACCGGCTGATGCGCAGCTGCTTATACTGCAGTTCTGCTGCTTTGGCATTACAGAGTGAAGAAGCAGAATTTGACAGAGCCTTCTTTCATTAATTGAACATAAAGACATAAATATTACACTGGATGTGGGATAGACTCTGATCAATTTATTAATTCAGCATGAATGAATGAATGCAATATTTTTTTTATTTACTTTTGAATGTCTTTTTGTGACGTTATATAAAAGTGTTTTGTAAAAAATGTACATATATTTCGAAATAATGAATTTGCATATATTTATATTCATGTTTATTATCCTAATTATGGACTCATTTTTGGATCTGTATTTTTTATATTACCACTTTTTTATGTTATTATATTGTAAAGTTGTATGTTCTTTCATTCATTTTGCTTCGGCTTAGTCAATTTGTTCATCAGGGATCGCAACAGCGGAATGAACCGCCAACTTATTTAGCATATGTTTTACACAGCAGATGCAAACCAGTACTTGGAAACATTTATACACACTCATAGCACATGTCTTTGGACTGTGCGGGAAACCGGAGCACCTGGAGGAAATCCACACCAACACTGGGAGAACATGCAAACTCCACACAGAAATGTCAACTGACCCAGGTGGGACTCGAACCATCTGCCTTTCTGATGTGAGGTGACAGTGTTACCCACTGAGCCACCGTGTCGCCGCAATATCGTATAATAAAATGTATTTTTTTTATTTATATTTTAGTGTATATTAAGCAAATACAGTTTTCCATAAATATTTATAAACATATTATTTTGTTACTATGTATTATTTTTATAGACTTGATGGTAACACTTTACAATAAGGTTGTATTATTTAGTTAATAACTAATGAACAATACATTTAATGCTGTATTTATTCATCTTTGTTAATGTTAGTAAATGAAAATGTTCTCTCACAGTGCATTAACTAATGTTAAAAAGCATACTGTTTTGGTTTAAATAATGCATTAGTAAATATTAAACTGTTTAACAAATGCTGTACAAGCATTGTTCAATACTTATGATAACATATTTACATTAGTAATTAGCATTAGCTAACATTAACTAAGGAAGCTTTGCAAAGTGTGACCTACTTTATAATTTAATATAGGCCTACATACAGGTTTTAATTTTTATATACTTTATGCCTTATTTTCATATTTTAAAAATCCCATTGTTATATATAAATATTAAGAATTAATAATATTTAATATTAGTATTTAATATTAATATACATATTTTACCTGAAGAAATTATTGATTTTTTTTTTTTATTATTTAATGCATGCTTTAGTTATGTTACTAGTAGTTATAACATTTAAGTCTATAATAAAATATTTTCTGGCGGTTCATTCCACTGTGGCGACCCCGTAATTATAAAGGGACCAAGCCGAAAAATAAAATAAATGAATGGATGAATAAAATATTCATTCATTCATTTTCTTTTTGGCTTAGTCCCTTAATTAATCTAGGGTTGATTTAAGTTCATGTTCACTGTTTTTAGAGTGAATGTTTACAGGAGGGCTGGATGAGACTCTGTTAGACAGAGAGAATGAAAGAGAGAGAGAGGTGCTGTTTTAGAGCTCTGCTATAAACAGATTGTAATGGGTGGTCTGTGTTTTTGTGCACACACTGCTTCCTCAAGCTCCACTGTTTTTCTCCCGAACGCAGTGATGTTAAAATGTGAAGCAGTGTTGACCTCTGTTGGTCAAGAAGTAAACTGCATGTTCTGCACCAATACCAGTGTTTCTATGGGAAGGGTATAAACAAAGGTTGGAGCCAGCTCCAAATGGGCTGGTCCGATCTAAGTGGATGGGACTTGAGCTCCATGTGGGCTGTACAAACCTCCTGGAGTTTTCATTTATTTAATGTCTTGAATATGACACAAAGTCCAACCTGTTGTGTTTTACTAACGTCTACCCCAACCCTCACAGTAACCTATTGTGTTTTACTAACATCTACACCTCAACCCTTAAACCAACCTTATAGTAACCTTGTTTTTATTTATTTAATTCAACACCTATACCAAACCCAACCTCACAGTAACCTATTGTCTTTTTTTACGTCTAGTTACCAAAACACAAAACCCTACATGACTTCAACTGCAAAGTAGAGCAAACAGCAGACAAACTGACAGATTTTGTTTTAAGAACAACAAATAATAACTTGACTTCTAGTTGATCATTTGGTATCAGAAGTGGATTAAATGAAAGGCAAAAGCGTCTATATTATGATTATTTATGTACAGTATCGAATATAAAGTCATGGTGCAGTTGAAAAAGAATTAATATTATGACTCCCATGAGCTTGAAAAACTGCATCTATACATACTCAAATAACTTAATTAATAAAGTCATCTGGAATGACAAAGAAAGCGTTCTTGCAGGACTCCCAGAGTTCATTAAGATCCTTTGGATTCATCTTCAATGCCTCCTCCATCTTACCCCCCACATGCTCAATAATGTTTATCTCTGGTGACTGGACTGGCCAATCCTGGAGCAACTTGACATTCTTTGCTTTCAGGAACTTTAATGTGGAGGCTGAAGTATGAGAAGGGACGCTATCCTGCTGAAGAATTTGCCCTCTCCTGTGGTTTGTATTGTAATGGGCAGCACAAATGTCTTGATACCTCAGGCTGTTGATGTTGCCATCCACTTTGCAAATCTCTCGCACACCCAATGCTAAATGTAACCCCAAACCATGATTTTTCCTTCACCAAAATTTACTGATTTTTGTGAGAATCTTGAGTCCATGCGGGTTCCAATAGGTCCTCTGCAGTATTTGTGATAATTAGGATGCAGCTCAACAGATGATTCATCAGAAAATATATATACTTTCTGTCAATTTCCCAAATGATCAACTGGGATCAATGACAAGACTTTTAGCAAAGACAAGACAGGTAGCATAGATAGATAGATAAATAGATAGATGGATGGATGGATGGATGGATGGATGGATGGATGGATGGATGGATAGATAGATAGATAGATAGATAGATAGATAGATAGATAGATAGATAGATAGATAGATAGATAGATAGATAGATAGATAGATAGATAGATAGATAGATAGATAGATAGATAGATAGATAGATAGATAGATAGATAGATAGAAATGAACAGAAAGAAATATACAAATATACGAACAGACAAACAGAATAGAATAAAACGATTGGATGGAAATGAATTGACCCTCCTGTAATCCAGGATTACAGTGTGATGTGTGTTAGTCGTGCTGCACATCTCCTGCTGTGTTTACTGCCAGATGAAGTGTTTTAATCCAGCAAACAGCACAAATCACTCCTGTGACTCAAGAATGACCGTCTCACTCACAACACTGAATCCTGATGACAGAGCATCTACAACCGTGAGTATCTATCTATCTATCTATCTATCTATCTATCTATCTATCTATCTATCTATCTATCTATCTATCTATCTATCTATCTATCTATCTATCTATCTATCTATCTATCTATCTATCTATCTATCTACCTACCTACCTACCTACCTACCTACCTACCTATCTTTATCTATCTATCTATCTATCTATCTATCTATCTATCTATCTATCTATCTATCTATCTATCTATCTATCTATCTATCTATCTCAATTCATGTTTGTTTCTATAGCACTTTTGCAATGTAGATTGTGTCAAAGCATCTTAACATAGAAGTTGTAGTAAATTGAAGTTCAGTTTAGTTCAATTCAGTGTGGTATAATTTCACTGCTGAAAGTCCAAACACTGAAGAGCAAATCCATTGATGTGCAGCTCCACAAGTCCCAAACCAGTGGTGAAAGTGGCGAGGAACAAACTTCACTAATTGACGAAAGTGAAGGAAAAAAATTGAGAGAAACCAGGCTCACAACCAAATCTCCTCCGGTCAAACTTTCTGCTCAGAGCTGCAGTCTAGGTGCCGGAGGCTGGAGAACGCTGGACGTCCATCGTTGAGAAGCTGCAGATGTGAGTAGTATCTGTCTGTCTTTTTGTTCATATCCATCTATATATCTTTCTTTTTTCTATCTGTCTGTCAGTCAGTCTTTTTGAATGTTTTATAATGACATTCCCTGTATTTAACATTGTTCATAAATTCCTTCATAATTTTTTAAAAATAAGCAAGGAAATACTATAGACTTTACAAAACAAAAACCATGTAATGGACCAACAAGACTGTTTCAGGTCAGAGCTGTAGTTTATATCAGAGGTACTGATGAAACTCAACCCTACTTCAGCAGATACTTGAACGGTTACATGATCTGAGGGGCTCAGGTGAACAGCGGCGGCCCACCTCGTCTCACCGTCCAAAATCTGCAGACGAGTAAAACAAGTTAGGTCAATCCTATCATGACTTAGTGACATAAAAATGGGAAAAAAAACTGTAAGGTATATATATAATATTCATTCATAAATTTTCTTATCGGCTTAGTCCCTTTATTAATCTAGGGTAGCCACAGTGGAATGAACCGCCAACTTAGCTTAGCCAATTTACCTACCACATGTATTTGGGCTTGTATATATATAATATTCATTAATTAATTTTCTTATCGGCTTAGTCCCTTGATTAGGGTAGCCACAGTGGAATGAACCGCTAACTTAGCTTAACCAATTTACCTACCACATGTATTTGGACCTGTGTGGGAAACCGGAGCACCCAGAGGAATCCCACGCAAGCATGAGGAGAACATGCAAACTCTGCACAGAAATGCCAACTGACCCAGCTAGGGCTTGAACCCATGAGTTTCTTGCTGTGAGGCGAGTTTCTTGAGTGTGTGCTACCCATTGTGCCACTGTGCTGCCCCGGTATATTTTTAATATTACATATTATTTCTGCCTTTCTAACATTTATGTTCAGAACTCAACATATGCAGGTCAGAATGAGGTTTTACAGAGCTTTAGATCTAATCCCACTTTGTCTATCCGTCCTTCCTTTTCCTATTTGAAGATAGATGCAGAGCTCAACGAGGGTTTTTCAGTTTTATCCCTCTAGTAATATCCCAAACATAAAGAAATAAGCTGGTTTTAACCTTTGATCTTTGTTTCGTTAAATCTGTCATCCTCATGTAGATGGGTGGGATGTATAGATTGATGTGAGAGAGGAAACCGCACTCATGGGTGAAATCTTTTTTTCAATGCAAGGGAGATTACGAGCTTGATATTTCGATGTATAAAAGACTATCCCATAATGCGCCATTCTATGGGATCATACACTGGCATATCAGTTTCTTGAGTAAATCTACTCTGTCACCTTGTGGATGGCAGCACCTAACCCACATGCCCTCCATCACCCCAGGGTTAACTTCATAGTTGCAAGGAAAAGGAGGCATGAATTGATGAAGATTAATGTAAACTTATCAACAAAATAAACAACCGATCTGAAGTAAGCGGCAGGTCCTCAAGAATAAATGTCACTTTAACATAAAACAGAAGGTTAAAATGGGCCAGGGCTGGTCCTCTTTTGTTCCTCACTGCCATCATTCCTCCTTTTATCCTCTTTCTAGCTTCTCCATGGGTCTTGAGGCTTGTATGGTGTTGAGCTGTCATTTAATAACACTTGTAAGACTTGCTCCACTTCCATATGGTCTTGACTACTAAAACCCCAATGGCCCCTATAGGCGAAGAGTGCCCCTTGGTAGCCTGTGCTCTACTTCCATTTCCCATGGGCAGTTGTCACGGCGGGCATGGCATTTGGGGACAGATGGGGCGACAGAAAGGAGATAGTAGGATGAGAGTCAAGAGAGATGAGAATAGGCTCTTGAACACACTGCTACCTCCAGGTCCAAGTGTACACTCATGATGTGGTAAATAGACAGATTGATAAAAGGATGTGGACTTCTCTATCACTTTTGTTAGTCGCCAATTACTCCTCTGATTTCAAGGACCATGCAGTGGCCCCCTTATTCCCTCTCTTCTTTCATGGTCATCGAAGTTCTACGTAGGACAGGTGTGTAGTACAAGTGTCACTCATTAAAACAGCCTGGTTCTGCTCCCAAAGCTCTCAGCCATATCCCAGTCATCACATGTACCACCATCAGCCCTTTCTGACAGGGGGAGACCCATGAGACTCTACTCCCTAGGTAGGCTGTAACAGTGGCTATGGCAACTGAGGTATAGGAGGAAGACTTATAGAGAATTATAGAGAGGTGAGAATAAAATCAGGCTCCTGAACATACTGCTGAGAACTCATTGCCGACTAATTAGGGGTTGAAGGAGTCTATTTGACAATTTATTAATTTACCCTATCATGAGTTTAGGTCTTTCAGCTGGTGGAGGACCAGGAGGCAGCAGTGTGTTCAAGAGACAATTAACTTTTTTCGAGACTCTCTTTATACTTCTGTCTCCATTCTGTGGCCTCATTTGTCTTTTAACCCAAATGCTAAGTCTGCCACGACAGCACTATGATTTCAAATTGATTAAACAACAAAATGAAAGTAAGAGGCAGTGCCTCGTGGATGAGATAAAATGGACTTGGCCTGCTTCTATCTTGTTTTTTTCACTGTTGTCACTTCTCTTTTTATCCTTCTCAGTCTCCTCTGTGGAACTTGAAGCCAAGAGCTGGAGAAATACTTCAAATAGGCACGAAATCCTCAATTCTTATAGGCAATTCCCTTAGCGGCACACATTCCTGGACTGCAATTTCAACCAAGGAATACCCCTGTCCTACTGTTGCCTAGAGCCCCTGTTGAGGTTGTGGGGTAAAGGTACTGCTCATGTTGTTGCCCCACCCTACTTATCACAGCCACTTAGTTTATGTTACTCCTAATTCCTTGTCATGTCAAAAAACCTTTGTCTTCCTGATCAATTATCATTTGCTGTCCTCCTAAATGATCCACATGATGTCATCAAGAAGGTGGAACTAGTGACACATTTCCAGAGACAGCAAGACTTTTCTGCAATATCTATTTCCACCTAGCGGCACGCATTGTCTTGCTTTCGTTTTGCCTTGTTTGGAAACTGTACAAGGAAGAGCTTCTGTGCTCTTATTGGTCGACATCCTAAATGTGTCAGAATCAGTCATGAAGCACAAAAAATTATTGAATATTGCTTGTCCAGGGATGTCCAAACTTGGTCCTTGAGGGCCAATGTTGCATTTTTCTCACAACATCTCAAAACAAAATGTTGTTTAGACATTTCTCGTGGTTGTTTGAAGTTGTCGTACTGATTGTGTCATCAGATTCGATAGCTGAAGTCAGGTCATAGCTGAAGTCACATTGCAGGTGTAGCAGAGGCCAGTGAAGTGCTGTGCAAGTAAACCTCACTCGTCTGGCCTCTAAAAGGTGTTCTAGCGACAGATGCTAGAGGAGGCTATGGTCTTTAGCCTAGTTCGTAGAGCAACTGACACACATGTGGAAAGTCGCCAGTTTGATCCCAGCTCGGAGTGGGTTGAGTGGTGTAGGACCAGTGGGGTCAAGCAATAAAGTGTTGGAAAACTTCTGCCACAGCCAGAACCTTATCTGAAGGAAGATTTGGTTGCAACAGCCATTAAACAGCTGTTGATGAACACGTCCCAATGACAATCAAACACAACAGATTTTAGCCTAAGATTATACAAGTCTTTGAGTAATCAGAGTAGGAGCTAAACAAGGAGTAGGACTGCATACCTGTGTGCTAGTCTGTCTGGACATAAAATTAGTTGTCCGCCATAACACTTTTCGAGATGAAACTATTGTTGTTTATTAATCATCATGATACCCTCAATTGTCATGACACCACCAAACATATCATGGTATTTGTTGTCAAACATCTTTATTTTCCTATTTAGAAAACATTTACCCAATTGAAGTTCGTTTCTAATGTGTCATGTGTCAATGTTCAAGTACTGAAAGCGTAAAATTCATAATTGCCCTCCTGAAGTGTTGCAGTTTGCACCCTCTCGCTGTGTCTGTGCCCTCCGCTAACAGCGTGAAATATTAATCACTTTGCTCTTTCTCTTTTCTCTTCTCTGCCAACAGCTGCTACTGTACAATAGCGTTTCCCTCCCAGATCCAGACACTGTTTCATGTACACAGACACAAACACACACCTTTGGCTGCTCCTTTGATGACAGACACCAAACTCTGGTAAGGGCGATTTATACTTACTTTTGATGATGTAAGTTGACATTAAGTTTTTAGAACTGAAATAAACCCTAGAGCAATGTTCTGATAGGATGTTTACGATAAGATCTGTGTCCAGGACGTGTGATATGCATGTCACAATATGATACATTATTAAAAAACGAACCCAATATGCCAAAGTGTGAGATCACTTTGTATTGTTAATGGATTGTACTTTGTATTTTTATGACGCTATGCAGAACTCAAAAGCTTCCGTTCATGCACATATCAAACTATCCTTGACCAGTAATTTCATAACAAGCTTTGGATGTTTGTTTACTCAGCTGTCATACCGAATATTTACAATGGAGAATATTTGAGTCACAGCATCTAACAGCTTTACAAAACTGTGCTGGATCCACAATTCAGTATGATAATGAACATAGAGATAAAATATTGGGCATCAAAAACTAAATATTTTAAATTCAAATAATATTATAATTCTTGTAAACTTTTTTTAGGTAAAATTCAGATAAAACAACTCATTTACATAAAATGGTTAATAAAAATTAAAATACTAAGTTATTCAGACAATGATATAGATTAGATTATATACTAATTATTTTATTGGGGGGGGGTGGCACGTGGTGCAGTGGGTAGCACAATCGCCTCACAGCAAGAAGGTCGATAGTTCGAGCCTCTGCTGGGACAATTTGCATTTCTGTGTGGAGTTTGCATGTTTTTCTCGTGTTCACGTGGGTTTCCTCCGGGTGCTCTGGTTTCCCCCACAAGCCCAAAGACATGCACTATTGGTAAATTGTCCGTAGTGTATGTGTGTGAATGAATGTGTATGGGTGTTTCCCATTGATAAAACATATGCTGGATAAGTTGCCAGTTCATTCTGCTGTGGCAACCTCAGATTAATAAAGGAACTAAGCCGAAAAGAAAATGGATAAATGCATAATTATGTTTTATAGTAATAATAAAAACTACTATCATTATTATTATTGTTCTAAAATTACTATGTTAAATTACTAAATTAAAATATTACGTTGTATTTGAATATTATTAAAATGAAAAGTTTTCATTTATTATTTATAGTGAAAAATATTTGAGTCTGGGTTCAAATTAACACTTTAAATAAATAACATTTATCAAGTATTGAGAAATATTAATTATGGTAAAGTATAATAGTTATTATTATTGTTTATTATATTTTTTTATATGTAAAACATTATACAGAACTTCTGTCATGTCACATTTCATTACATACTGTGTAATTAGTATCCTTATTGTTATTATTTTAATATGAAGATTTTTGTATTAAACATCTGGAATATTATATCTGTAAGCCAGTAGGTTTGACTGAGACATAGCTTAATAATGCAAACCCCTTTAGTTTTTCCACAGAACCTCCAGGATGCATCTGTTCTTAGTTCTTCCCCTGGTGCTGAAAGTCCAGTCTATCTCCATGGGCCACAATGTCACCTGTGACTGTATCTGCCATGAGGGATTCAAAAGTGCTTACTGCTCCAACAATAATATCACCCAACTGCCCATCGCTCTTCCACCATTCACAGAAACCCTGAATCTGTCCCACAACCACCTGAACACCATCCCCCCACGAGCCTTCAACACCACACGAAAACTGCATTTCCTTTACCTGAACGACAACAATATTAGCATGTTAGCAGACGGGGCGTTCTTTCTACTGGAAGGTCTTAGGTGGTTGGACTTGAGTCGAAATCAAATATTATCCTTAAGTGAAGGGTTTTCAAAGGGTCTCAGTTCCCTTCAAGGTCTTTCACTGGCTGAGAACAGATTAACCAGCATGGATAGCAGTTATTTTCTCCACATGGACTCATTACAAAGACTCAATCTCAGCCATAACTCCATCCACACCATCAAAATGAGGGCGTTTGGGTCCATAAGTACGCTACGCCAGCTACAACTTGACTGGAACAAAATAACGATCCTCAATAATGGTATCTTTTCCATGCTGCGAAATCTTGAAGACTTAAATTTGCATCACAACCAGATACATAGCTTGGACGTCGGGGTACTTTCACCATTGACCAGCCTTGGTAAACTAGACCTTACCAACAACAACCTCTCCACGATTCAATTCAAGACCTTCTTGAGTCTCAACACGTACAGCACTCACATAATGCTGCGGGGAAACCCCTGGCGGTGTGACTGCGATCTCCAACGAGTCTTCCAGAAGCTCTGTAACGTCAAACGGCTCTTTCTGGATGACTACGACAGCCTCACTTGCTACTCATTTAACGACGAATTTAACGGAAACCACACTGTTTTTAAAGCGGTTGAGCTCTGTGTTGCAGAGATGGTTACTGTCCTGGTCATTACAATCACTGTGGTCATCACGGTTGTGGCGGCAATTGTCATGGCGGAGAAAAAAAGGAAAAAGAAGAACAAGGAAAAGCATTGGACGGAAGTCGGCGAGGTGTCCTGTGGATCACAAGACTGAATGAATGACAAAATATACATTAATCAATAACTCAAACTCTGATTGCTTATTAAGATGATAAAATCTCACGTGAACTGTAACTGAATGGGCAATATTCACAGCTAGGCTGCGTCCAAAACCGCGTACTTCCATACTATACAGTATGCTAAAATCAGTTTGCTAGCAGAGTAGTATGTCCAAATTCATAAAATTCAAAAATCAGTATGCGAGAAGTACCCGGATGACTTACTATTTCCGGCGAGATTCTGAAATGCGCATCCCATGCACGCCCCACGAGAGAATTAATGAAGGGGAGTAAAGGCTGATTTATACTTCTGCGTCAAACGCCAGTGTATGCTACGGCGCTGACACATAGCCCTTCGCCGTTTCCGTCAGCGTCGCTACTGTGCACCTCTCAAAAAATGTAACTACACGTCGCAACGACGCGTAGCGCAAGCTCTGTGATTGGTCAGCTTGGTAGCGCTGACGAGTCTGGGCGGGACCGAGAGCCGCGTGAATGGTGCGAGCCTGATAGAGCGATTGTTTACAAGTGTGGAGTCCCGTGAAGGAGCTCCGGATGGAAAGTTTTGTTTTGTATTTACCTAATAGTTAAAGTTGTTGCACGTCCGAGGTTCCTACCTCAAAATGAGCGAGTTTGAGCCACTTGTACATCCCAGAAGTGTTTAGGAAAAGCAAAACCGCAGTGAAGAAACTCGACACAGAGGAACATTTACACCTCACTGCCAAGTAGCGTTTCGGAAGTGTTAATGCAGACCAACAGAGACAGAAGTATAAATGCACAGCTACGGGCGTTGCGTGCGCCGTGGGTTACGCCGGTCACTTGACGCAGAAGTATAAACCAGGCTTAAAGCGACACAACTGAAGCAGGTGGGTCACGTGACCATGACAAAATGGCGGATGTAGTACGTCCGAATTCCATTCATACTGTATAGAACATACTTTTTCTAATGACCGAGTATGACATTTAAATTCAAATGCAGTAGCTACTGGGTAGGCGGTTTTGGATGCAGCCCTAGTGTTTTTTTTTAGCTAATGATGAACTTCCGGTAAAAGGGGGGAGGAGGGGGGGCGTGCACTCAAGAGCGGTGTTGTCTCGCGCTTACTTAAGGGCAATAGGGGGGTGGGGGTGTCGCGGGGGGCACTTTTGATCATTTTGGAAGGGCACTTTCTATCCAAGACTAAAAAGGGCATGTGCACTGCACAGGTTGAGCCCTATGTGTGCATGTGCCTGAGCAAACTTGTTCCTGAAGGGCCGGTGTCCTGCAGATTTTAGCCCCAACCGTAATCAAACACACCTGAACAAGCTAATCAAGGTGTTACTAAGTATACTTGAAACACTCAGGCAGGTGTGTTGAGGCAAGTTGGAGCTAAACCCTGCAGGGACACCGGCCCTCCAAGACCGAGATTAGTGGCCCCTTTTTTAAAGCATTGATGTTGTAATGTAATTCAAATATAATCAGTTAAATAGATTCAAGCATCTATTTGGTTGTCAAAGTGTAAAAAAAGACCAAAACGCAGGCGCCAAATTGCATTGAAAATACTGAGGTTATATGAATTTCCATATTTTAAAGACATTGCGTGGAAAACTATAATTTAATGTAGTCCTTCTTGTTTGGTCTGACCCACTTTATATTGTATCTCAGCCAGGCAGTGAAGATCTCTGTTTTTTAAATATCAGATCTTAAAGGTGATTTTCTATGAGATGACTCAGGTTGATGGTCTTATTCAAAAGACGGTGTAAACTATAAGAAATGCAGGGTTCCACAATGTATTCATGTTATCCCAACACAAATCAATTAAGTTAACTTAACACTTTTAGCTAATTTGTGCATTAAACATAAAAAAATAAGTTGTCCCAATAAAATCTCAAGAATTGTGTTGTTTCAGCTCATTTTAGTTTGAACAAGTAAAAAAAATGAGTGTAAAATATACAGAAAGAAAAAAATGAATTAATGTATAATTGCTATGTGTATTTATTCAGCTGTATTGAGAGAATGGCAGATGCTCTGAAAATAAAATATTATTTATGAACTTACTTACCTGGACTCGTTTGAAATGGACGTAAATTTTCTGCGAAGTGAAAAAGACGAACCAAAATAGGTGTTTCGTTTGTGAACACAAGATGGCGCTAGAAAACTGTTTTTGCGTATTGGTGTAAAATGAAGGCCTGAGTGGTGGCAAAGTACAAGTTGCATTAAAAAAATTGGTTTGTTCATCCAGAAAGCAGATGTATATTTCTAATCAAAACTTTTTTTTCAGATAAATTATTTAAAAAATAATGATGATTATATATATTTTAATAAAGCAATAGGGCTGAGGAAAATATGCAATTTAGTACTTAAGATCTATTTATTCAGCCATAAAGATGTAAACAAAAACAGCAAATGCTACTCTCTACAATAGCAACAAAAGTTATAAAGCATTTTTTTAAAAAGTGCCAATCTCTAAAAAAAGCATGTTGCTTGAGGACAACAGATCTGCCTATTCTCGATTTGACTTTCAACAGTGCTTGCAACAATGTACAAAAGGAGTTGAAGAATCTTCTTGATCTTGTAAAACAGCTACGCCCAATTCATGTGATGTAGCAGAACAGTATTTGTTTGATCCTATTTATTATTACGATTACATTCCTAACAAAGTATGTCATATCACAGTAGTATGTGCGTTATAATGTTTTTAATCACCTTCAGCTGGTAATTTACATCCATTACGATACCATTGTTTTGATCAATAGTTTTAACTATGGTTGTTTTACCTAAACTGTGGTATTTAATTAATACGGTAGCTCTTGTGTGTCTCCATTGGTATTGTCTTTTATGGTAAAATATTCAAGAGCCCTCCTTTTCATTGAAGCGACCTACTTGATATTCAAATTACAGGTCTTTACGATTGGATGGCTGTCCATCAACGTCAGCACGTTTGAATTACTATTCAGAAGCCATGCCTTCGAAAAGAGAAATATGATACTGAGCAACGTCAGCACTTCATTATTATTCATGACGTAAGCCCCAAGTCAGTTTGTGTGCAGGTGAACTCTGGATTCTCGCCACCAAACAACAGAAATGCCTAGACAGGATCTAAAATAAAGGGGAATTTGCCTGTTTGGACTGGCAGAAACCATAAAACACAGTTCGTCACGCGAAATAATAATCGGAAATGGACGAAAACCAACTACATTATCGAACTGTTTCAAAGTAACCGACTCACCTGGAACTGCCGAGGCTACAGGTAAATAAACAATGACTGTTTTCACTCCGCGTGTGTGTGTCTATTTTACTGTAAACATGTAACGATTCAAAATACTGAGTCTTGTATTTTTCATCTCCATTTCCTGCATTACTTGACTAAGGGATGTTTTTTTTAGACCGGTCTTCCTGTTTTGGCCATGTTCTTGTAAGACAAAGAAGAAAATGCTTTCTAAAATTAGTTGTAAGACTAAATAACGAATGAAGTATAAAGTTTATCTTTTATTAAATGACAAAGCAGTTAAGGAAGTTATGATACTTCCGTAAAAGTATGACGTTTTAGACAGGCGCGTTATAAACCTCGATGACGTCATTGTGCAATAAACATCCTCATGTTATGCACCTGTAATAAATGAAAAAATATGTACCCTAGTAACTAATGAATACCCAATATACACTGCCCGATACTTACTTTTTGTATGTCCAGTATGCACCAAAAAAACATATTGCATTATGTGAAATATTGTCAAATGCCTTTTTACCTCATGATGTTATTGTTTTGAAAGTATGATTATTTTGGAGAATGTAGTATGTTATCTGGGTATTCATACAGAATATTTGCATACTGTGAATAGGATACTTCTGTTGCTGCAATAAAACTCTGCTGAACTATCAGAACAGACATGCAAATCTATGTTAATATTATAGTTCACTCGCATATAAAAATTCCCGAGGGGGGTAAAAAGCTTAAAAACAAAGAGAATTTAATAAAAAGAATCCTCAAATAAGCTAACAGAAATCTTAATATCAAAACACAATATAACTTAAACTGATAATTCACCTAAAACTACAACTTAATCTCCCTGAACTTTTTCCAAACCTGTTTGAGATTTAACTTTTCTGTTGGACATGAAAAAGATACTATGAAGAATGTTGGAAACTGGTAGTCATTGACTACATTTACATGGACATCAGTCATCAGATTATTTTCCCTAATCTGAATATGACAATAATATGATTAAGGTGTTTGCATGAGTTGCTTTTTGAATGACCTTTCATGATCCCGCTTTTTCATGTTATAGCACATAATTCGATTGCCATCATTGTGTCATCGCGCTATCCACGTTTCCTCTGGAATTTCATATAGTTTCGGGTGTTTCATTTTTAATTTGTGGACTTAAGTTGCAGTTTGACCCTTCCACTTTCATTCAGGAACATTTCAAGCATGCCCTCCTTGACAAACGAGATATTGGATGCGAGTATGAACTGCTGGAAGTGCTAACACATGTCGAATGGGAGAAAAAAAACCTCCACATTTTTAAGTGTGTGTTTGTGTCTGTGGTCCCTAACTGACTCGGTAGGTGCAGAGAATAGTGTCAAACAGCTGTGTGTATATGGAATATTCTGTTGCAAAATGCGGTGAAAATCCCACATGACGGTAATAGTTTGATTGCTGTGTTTACATGTACTGCACTTCAATAATGCGATTAAAATCGGCACACTCCACATGTGTTAATTTGATTTCTCTTTAGTTTGATTATGACCTTAATCAGATTAAATAATCAAAAATTGCTCTTTTACATGGTAGACTCTTAGGGTGCTTTCACACCTGTGAATCAATTCAGTTGTTCCGAAACAGAGATTACAATTGTTACATTGTTGCTCTTTGCTCTTGGAGCGGTTCGCTTTCACATTGCAAAGTTTCTAATCGGACCAAAAGAGCTAAAACAAGTTACGTGTGAGTAAACCCTCCTTACATTGGTCAGAGTGTCAGGGTTTATTTTGCAGCGTCCCGCTAAACTGTCAGGAGAGGTGGTGGTTTGGTGGTGATTGGGTGCGCGCGCGACGTGTCTGAGGAGAGACGCGGTGGGGAGGGGTGAGAAGGGTGCGCGACGATGCCTATTTGAGGACCTGGAGGGAGACGCGAGACTACCGGGAGATCATCACTCGTTTGCGGGAATCCGGAGACTCGCGAAACTTCCCACCCCACTCATAATTCTCTTTTCATATATAGCCGTATATGCCTATTACATATCCATAAAACACAGTGATACAACCGCGCTCGGATCGGATCGCTTTCTCACTACAATCGAACCGCTCCAGGGTTCGTTTCAATCGAGCCGAGACCACCTCATTCAAGCGATCTCGGAGCGATTACTTTGGTGCGGAACAGAGTGCGATTGCCCTGTTCACATATGCCAAACAAACCGCGCTAACTGGGCAAACGAGATACATTCCGAAACAAAAATGTAGGTGTGAAAGCACCCTTAATCACAGTATTGTCTTAATCTTATGAAAATCAGATTATTAGTGTCCATGTAAACATACTCATCAACTACCATTTTTTTTTTTGGTAGTGTGGTATGGATGTCAATGACTATTCTTCAAAGTATCTTTTTTGTTCAACAGAGGAAGCGTTTAGAACCACCATGTGGGGGAGTAAATGGCTAGTAAAAAATTTGCTTTAGTTTGCATTGGAATTTGATACTATAGTAAGTGATCATGTGTAAATGTAAAACTTGTGTGTCCATATTGACCCTATTTGAATATATATATATATACATACATACATACATACTTACTTACATACATACATACATACATACACACACATACATACACACACACACACACACACACACACACACACTAATTCATTTTATTGAATTTATGTATATGACAATTGCTGTACCTAAATACTCTTACTCTCTCCCGAAAACTATAAAGCGTGATTTATTTCACTTTAACATTTGATCCATTGTGTTTATTTATGATAGTTTGTTTGTTCAATAAATGCAGTGCTTCCCACACATAGACTTTACTTGGGTGAGCCTCCCAGGTATAATTGGTGACACTTTATTTTTTTATTATGATCATTATCTTTTACACTTTTTTTGTATCCGCTTAATAACCAAACATCCGCAATCGATTAACAAGTGGAAAATCTCCTCTCGCCCTACATGTTTCCTACTTGTCATTGTATGTGTGCAGTCAATTGTCAACACTCCCAAACACAATCACACATGCTCTGTAGAGACGCACCTTTTTGGGACTTAAAAATGCGTCCGTCAGGGGTTTCTAAATCTCCTAAAATATCCAGGAATTGGCTTTTGGTTTCGATTTCTAAGCAGTTGTATGTGTTTTTGCATTACATTTTTATTTAATTAATAAATTACATTCATTATTTTAAGCCTAATTTACCCTAAGTACACCATGTGCACAGTGGCAAGAGTCAGAGAAACATTAAATAATTAATTATTTGATCTAAATGACTCTTAAAATGTTAATCCATTGAAAAGATAGCGTATAATAAATAAAAGTATTGTTAAAAATCACTTTTTTGTCGCATATAGGTAACCATATGTTGTGTGTAAAAGGTGTGTTTTAATCCGGCTACCACCGCAAGTATATTTAAAACCTGTTGGAAGCATTGAAATGTATATAATAGAGTATATACAAGAATCAGAGAGTGAAATTCAGTACCTTTTAAGAACTTTTTTTTAAGACTCTTTCCATACAATTTAAGTATTTATAACCATTTTAGGTTTCAACTCAAAACACTGGAGAGATTTTAACTTACAGTATATTTACTTCATTGTAATGTAAGAAACTAATCCAAATCTAAAAGGTTATTCATATACTGAATAAAAATCTATTAAATCTAGCTAGTTCAGCAGGTTGGCGCCTATAGAGCTGCAGAAATAATGGTGATGCCTCAGTTACTGCAGTAAACTTGGAGATTTTTATTAATTTCATAAACTACACAGCATCCTAATAATCTCAGATTAAATTCAGGCAAACTATAGCATACAACTATACATTGCATATTCAAAATTTATAAAAAATAAATAAATAAATTAATACCTTGCAAAATAGCATTTAAGACATTTTTTTTAAATTGGTTTTAATGAACATACAAACGTAAACAAAAAAGGGCAAAGACAAATGTATCAGTAAACAAGTATAGCAGCAAAAAGGCAAAGAGAAATAAAATTAAATAAATAAATAAATAAATAATAATAGTAATGAAATAAATAAACATACAAACAAAATACAAAAAACATAATACACAAAGTTATGCCGTGGTTAAGGTCACACGTTGTGAAAATACATCAGATGTGTTCATAGAGTTAGAGGATCATTAGAGGCATCCATATTTTTTGAAAGGCATCCCCTTTGTTTTTTAAGTAGCATTTAAGACTTTTAAATACTTTTTAAGGGCCTTAAATTAATACTTTTTAAGACCCCATAGACACCCTGAATAAATTACATATAAATATATTTACATTTCTCTCCCCTACAAATCCTCCCAATCAATCTAAAGTAGTAGTTATAATAGTAATTATAGTAGTAATAGTGAAACTGGTGAAATTGTATTTATATCACAATATATTGCAAAGAAATAAAATCATAATGTCAGTTTTTTTCCAATATTGTGCAGCTCTATTACCCTATTTACAAATGGCATCCAATATAAATTGAAAATGTCATTTTTAAAATAATCCATACTTTTGTATGTTTTTTGACCCTACCAGAAATATCAAGCACCCCAGAAAAGATGGCAGACGACCGAGTGGCCATCTTAACAGAAGATGAGGAGGAGCTGAAGAGGAAACACCTTGAGCGCTTTGACCGCCTGTCACTTGAGATTCAGTCACCATCTCAACCACCTGAAAATGATGTACCAAATGATACAGCGCCAACTCCATCCCCTCAACACGAATTGAGCTGCTGTGAACGGTTGTTCTTACGCGTCAACCGCCACCTTCTTGTGTCAAAAGTGTTTTATTTGTTCTTTTATGCCGCCTATGGTTCCCTTCATCCCCTTCTTGCTCTCTACTACAAGCAGCTGGGGATGAATCCAACTCAAAGTGGTCTCCTAGTGGGAATCCGATATTTCATAGAGTTCTGCAGTGCCCCTTTTTGGGGCATTGTCGCAGATCGATATAGGAAAGGAAAAGCAGTCTTGCTGTTCTCAATGTTGTGCTGGATCCTTTTCAATGCTGGGATTGGCATTGTGAAGCCCCCAATTATGGCATGTAAAGAGGAGACCATCCCGACAACGACCAAGGTACCAACTGTCCACCCTACCCCTTCTAATGAAACATTCTTCCCCAACACTAGTTCAACTAGTCAAATGAGACGGCGCAGGGATCTAATTGGACAATACCCTTGGCGAACCATCCTTTCCTCCGGTCAATCTTCAGGCTACATCTCTGAACATCGAATCAAACGAGATTCAAACTTGAGTTTTACCCCGGCACCTGAAGAACTGGCTAACACCACACAAACTAACCAAACCAGTACAACCACACAACCCAAGCCAAGCACGTCCATCTCAACATCAACCCCCAGCAGCACAAACACAACATCTAGCAGCACTACCAAGAGTACCACAACCAACCCAAACTTGCCACCCCCTGAGTATAACATGGACCAGGTTAACGCCATTTTTCTCCTGATTCTGCTCGTCATCATCATTGGCGAGTTTTTCAGTGCTCCAGCTATTACAATTGTAGATACGGTACGTAATGCTTTTTCTTCAAAATTAGCTTAGGTAGGGTTAGTTTACACAAAAGTTAAAATTCGGTTATTAGCTACACTCACCTTTGTGTTAGGAATAAATCCCCTGAGACCTTTGTTCATATTCTGAACACAAATTAAGATATTTTAGATCATGGGTCTCAAACTCAATTCCTGGAGGACCACAGCTCTGCACAGTTTTGTTCCAACCCTAATGAAACACAGCTGATGCAACCAATTAATCAAGGTGTTCAAGATTCTCCTGAACACCTGGACTATCTGGATCAGCTGTGTTTGATTAGGGTTGGAACAAAACTGTGCAGAGCTCTGGTCCTCCAGGAATTGAGGTAGGGACCTATGTTTTAGATAAAATCTGAGAGCTCCCTCATCCTCCATAGACAACAATGATCCAGAGATGTTTATAGTCCAGAAAAGGAACAAAAAACATTTTCACATGTATCATTATCACAGTCGTTGCTGTACCATGGCTGCTACAGGAGCATTGATATTACACATTGTATCCCTGTAATATCATTGCACCTGCGGCAGAAAAGTTACTTGATTATTACACTGGAATAAGAGTATAGTTCCTAGCCACATCAACTCAGAAAACAACTTTTGATTTCCCATCAGTCTTAGTATACGATATAACTACAAAAGAATTAAATGTTAAATATGAAAGTTATCTAAGCTTATAGAGCTTATAGAACTATCAATTTGAGTGCTAAGAGTCTAAACCAGGGGTTCTCAATCTCAGTCCTCGAGGTGTTCTGCAGATTTTAACTCCAACCCCAATCAGACACACCTGGGATAGCTAATCAAGCTCTTACTAGACTTACTAGAAACATCCTTGCTGGTGTGTTGAGGCAAGTTAGAGCTAAAATATGCAGGACACCAGACCTCCAGGACTGAGTTTGAGAACCCCTGGTCTAATCATGCTCCCTGGTCTAATCTGTGCTCATGAAGGGTAATATTAGTTATATACACCAAAACCATCTTTTGTACCAAGCTGTAAACATTTTATCAGTTGTAAAATTTAGCATGGCAGTCAGTGAACGTCAGGAGTTTCTGGAGCCAGCCCCCAAATGCCAGTCGATGAATTGCCGTTTCAATTACTTCCGTATTGGCTTCACAAGGGAAAGTGGGATGTTTCCGCTTGAATCACACTGAACACGTCTGTTCTTCTAAAAATGTTAGAGGCAATGCTTCGGTAAAATAAAAAAAAATAAAAAAAGCCCAGCATAAAGTATGCAGGTCTCTTAACACAGCCACTGAGTGCCCGTGAACAGAAACTTGCAATGCTTCTGATTGGTCCACTGCTGTGGAGCTGATAGTGATGAGCTGCACTCAGTAAGAAAGTTAAAGATCATGGGGTTCCAGTGTCCTGCAGATTTTAGCTTCAACCCCAATCAGACACACCTGGGCTAGCTAATCAAGCTCTTATGCTGTAGTCTCACTAGAGTTTAAGCTTGCGAAATTCCATCGTAGGGTGCTGCAATAAGGGGCGGGATTAAACAATATGATTAGACATTTGAAAAAGCGAGCGATTGGTCCATATTTAAAATTTCTGTCCAGAGAGGTCATGTATTGATCCTCGATTGGTCTCACACAGTCAAGTGATGCGATTTCACTGGTCAGAGTTCACCAAGCTTAAGCTTTGCACCACAGCAAACTGCGAAACTCGTCAAACGAGCTTGCATTTCCGGTCTGACACATTCACGTGAGTATGAATGTAAGTCTATGGGGAGAAAAGTCTAGTATGACCGCAGCTTTACTAGGCTTTCTAGAAACATCCTTGCAGGTGTGTTGAGGCAAGTTGGAGCTAAAATCTGCAGGACACCAGACATCCAGGACCGAGTTTGGGAACCTCTGGTCTAATCTGTGCTCCTGCTAGACCCAGAGATCGGCTAAATGGATTAACAAATCGTAAAACATAACTTCTTAACTCTAATGGAGTTGTAAAGTGAGACTATTTTCAAAAAAGTGGAGCGTTCCTTTTAAAACCTGTCCGTTTTGAAACAGAAGTCAATATTGGTGTCCCTGGCAAAGTTCAAAAGACAAAATTAGTTTTATAAAATTTTTGTGTGTTAACATGTTTTCAAGCCATATTCCTTTCTTTGCAGGATTTGTAGCACTGCAGCTAGTTACATCAGGAACAAATCTATGCTCCTAGGGTTAGGGTTAGAGCCCCCTAAGGACATAAGGAATTAATCATGAAGAAATCTGGAAACTTATAGTAGAAATTACTCTTTAGCTTTAACTTTTAGCTTTTAAATCAGTATAAACTCTGAAGTCGCCTAAAATGTTGGTTTGAATTGTTCTAGGTGACACTACACTACCTGGGTCCACACCGTGACAGATATGGACTGCAACGTATGTGGGGATCTCTAGGCTGGGGTCTTGCCATGCTCTGCATTGGCATCTGGATTGACCACACCAGCACCAACCTCATCATTGGCAACATGGAGTGCATCATGAAAAATTACAAGAACTATCACATTGCCTTCATTGTGTTTGGCGTGTTAATGGTAATCGCTCTGATCGTGGCAACTCAATTTAAGTTTGATGTTCAGCACCATGATACAAATGAAGGACAAGAGGTTGGTAATCAACAGGAAAATGTCCAACCTAGAGGTTCTCCTGGAACGAGGAGCACGGACACCCCAACAATTGTCCAAGCCGAGGAATTTCACTTCTGGGACTTGATGCGACTGCTGTGCGGCGTACAGTACAGCACAGTGTTATTCGTGGCCTGGTTCATGGGCTTTGGCTATGGATTTGTTTTTACTTTTCTTTACTGGCATTTACAGGACCTGACAGGAACCACAACACTATTTGGTATTTGCTCTGTCCTCAGTCATGTGTCAGAACTTGCTGCCTATTTCACCAGCCACAAATTCATCGAACTAGTAGGACACATCAGGTAAGGTTCTTGTGATTGTGTGTTGCTTTGAAAAGTGGAGACTGTTGTGTTCACTCTTGACTTGTGTTTTTTGCTTGCTTTCTCCACTTCAGTTTTTGTTCTTGTGCTCTGATTCATAGCTAAACGATGAGTCTGAGCGCTCTTTCACTTATGTACAACACTGATTCTACATGCTAAATCGGGCAAACTTCCTTCAACATTAAGCCAACAAGAGGCAACATGTAACACACTAAAAAAACTAGCCTGACGTTCACCAATGTGGCTGATGCTGCCCAACAGCTGACTGTCAGCTTGGTGTGTCTTGGCCATAAGGGCATACTTACATTAGGCACTGTTGTCTTGTACCAAATGTGTACCCCTCATTAAAGAGAAGCACTTTTATGAACAGACTATACATAAATATAATCTATTCCACGCAGGTATGTTTGACTTGTATTGCACATATAGTTAGGTCCATAAGTATTTGGACATCGAAACCTTTTTGGCTCTATTCACCAACACAATCCAATTGTTTTTTCAGCCTAATGATGGCTTGCTTGACTGACAGTGACAGCTCTTTGGATCTCATCTTGAGAGTTGACAGATTCCATATGCAAATAGCACACTTGAAGTGAACTCTGGACCTTTTATCTCTTCATTGTAATTGGGATAATGAGGGAATAACACTCACCTGGCCATGGAACAGCTTAGAAGCCAGTTGTCCAATTACTTTTGGACCCTTAACAAGTGGGAGGCACATATGCAAACTGTTGTAATTCCTACACCATTCACCTGATTTGGATGTTAATACCCTCCAATTAAAGCTGACTATGGTTAAAGCACATCTTGTTCGTTTTATTTTAAATCGTGTTGGTGTATATGCCAAAATGCTAGAATTGTGTTAATGTCCAAATATTTATGGACCTAACTGTAACAAGATTATTACAGAGACAGCAGATTACCTAGTGGGAGTACACCCTAAGGGCTCATTCACACATGTCTTTGCTTCTAAAAATGCTAGACACAACGTTTCGGAATGGTTTGAAAAAAAAAAGCACAGCATTAAAAATAAGGCTATACAGACACAGCCACTGAGTGCATGTTAACAGAAACGTGCAATGCTTGTTCCACCTTCAAGCTCTTCTGATTGGTCCACTTCTGTGGACCTGACAGTGAGCTGCGCTGAGTGTGAAAGTTGATGATCTTTTAACCTGACATGGTGCGTGGTGCTTCAAATGAGACGGACACATACTTCCGTGTGTTTATATTGAAAGATAATCAAACAGTAGCGCATTGGAAAGGAAAACACATTCTATGTGAACGGCCACTAAAGCATAGACAACCTTCACATGGATAAAGCAATACCAGAATTCATTACAAAAGTCATGATGTGGTTGTGTACTGGTTGCTTTCAGTATTGTCAATCCAAGCAAGGTCATGTATAAACATTCATATCTGTTGTTCTCATTTGGCTTATCAGGCTGTTAGCTTAGCCACATGCTAACATCAAATTCTACTTAAACAAACTGTCGGCGTTCAGATTATCAGTGCTTTTGCTTTGGGATCAAATCATCATAGTAATAAGAATCATAATTAAAGCATCTTCCTGCACCTTGTGTCTTTAGCTCACTTGATCCTGTCCTTGAATCAGTGAGCCTTTGTGCATAGCGCTGTCATGCGACCCTGTAGGTCTGCACTGGGATCAGTGAGCCATTGTTTGCTTTGGTTTAAGAGCACAAAGCCTTTTTCTGTGAGCAACAGCCCAAGCCTAGAATGCATTGCACAGCAGCTACACTGTCCACTCTCTGTTTTTACAGAGAGAACATTTATGCTCTTTTTTTATCTCCTATTTTCGCAGTTGAATAAATAATAGAGAAAACCATCTATTTGAATGATTGACAGATCAATATCAATTCATAAGTCACCCCCACCAGGGTGCGAATTACAAGGGGGTACAGAGGGATTGACCCCCCCTAATTCATGCTTGGTCCTCTCTGATGGACGTCAAAACAAGATGCATGGGGGGGTCAGTCCTTTAATAGTGAGAAATATTTCGCTCTGATATGTATTTTAAATAATAAAAATAATATACAATATAAATATAAAATTTGACCACCCCTAAAATCACTGTGAAAGCATAATCACGCCAATCTGTCTATTCTAGCAAAAAAACTGAAATTGGATGATCTAAAGCACTGATAGGCACCGTCTTTACAAGACTTTTTCCTCGTAAAATAGTTGTTTATCTACATTTAGCCTGAATGTAAAGTCAAATGATGCATAATAACGTTTGAAGTTTGACCTACTGTAGGGTAACATCCGAAAAAGCCAATCAGAGAATACACTAAATATCCATCAACACCCTTAAAACTTAAATTCCTTTAAATAATAAACTAGACGTAAATAAAAATAAATGCATAAATTACAAACTTACCGAAAAAAGTTGACCCCCCTGATTGTCAGTGTATAATTCGCACACTGACCCCCACCCTTAACCTCCTTTCGAGTGATGCAATTTCTTGTAAGAGGCGGCTACAAATTTATAGTTTCCTCTTCAACATCATTTAATACTTTATAGATTCGCTTTGAAAGATAACCTCAATAAACTGTAACAATTTTGGTGATGAGCTATGTGGTTGAATTTTAACTATTTTTTATTGTACAGCAAAATAAGATGAGTCATCATGACTTCAATAAATCTTAATAAAGCATGTTTCAATTAGTAAAAGTCACAAAAACACACCCTGTTTATATTTCACTACAAAAACCAGATGAAAAACGTTTTTGTTATGCTTTTGCATGCGTTGCAATTATGAAAATGTCATTTTTATTAGTAAGTGAATTTATACTTTCAAGTGCAACTGTCTTACATCTAAACAGTTATCTAAATGTATTTATTTTTTTACTAAATGTATTTTTGGAGTGGATACATGTTGTTGAGATGTTTTGTAATAACTTTGTGTTTAATTTCTTCTCTGGCAGAGTATTGTACATCGGCCTGGCCTGTAACACAGCACGTTACCTCTATATTTCGTATCTGGAGAACGCCTGGACTGTCCTGCCCATGGAAGTACTTCAAGGTATGAATAACCTGTCATCAGGTTTTCATTGCTGGGAAGGGAGCAAATAAAATGTGGTAAATTCAGTCATAAAAGACAATAGATCATTCTGACGTCAGTTTCACCACCCTTTCCTTTGGCAAAATGATGATGAAGAAAAGAGTCATTAAAGAGTTAATGCTATTCACACATAGGAATGAAGGCCTGGATCAAGTCTGTTTACATTCAGGACAGACACTGTTTTGTTTGACTTCATCTGTTTAAAGAAAAACAGCACTGTCTGTTGCAGTTTAATATTAGCCACCTGTACTTTACTGTACTGGAATTTTCAGTTTAAACATATAATTTGTTTTCAGGACAGACTTTTGTAACTGTAAACTGAAGGATAACTGCACACTGGAGTTAATCATTAGCTTATTAAACAACATTGTGTTTTATTTATCGACATCAGATCAAGTAATCGGAATATTTGATGTGTTTTGTTTGTTTTTTAACTTCGCTAAGTTTATTAATTCACTTCTTTCAGCCCTTTGCGTGGTTTGTGTTGTTGTTTAAGTTCAGTTAAATTTCAGTATTTTTATTTGGTTTGTTTTAATATTGTTGCTGTTTTTTGTTTGTTTCATTTTGTTTTTCTTACTGGTGTACTTGTGTTTTTTATTGTTTTATTTATTTAGTTTATCACTTAGGTGCTGTTTGGAATGGATTTGACAAAACAGTAGAGCTGATATATTTATTCTTTTGATCATATCAGTATTAGAGACATTAAGTTAAATATGAGTGCATAGAAGGAAATGGTCAACGCAATCTCACAGCAATTTGTAACGTTTTAAATTTGTGGCTAATTCTTATTAACCTTAAATTCTTAAATCCTTATTAAAGGTTCCCACACTTCTTAAAAACACTTATTAAAAATAAATGTAGGTCCTGAAGAGCTTGAATTAAATTTGAAATTAAACTTGTTTATGGTGTTGTTTCAGCAATTGTACTGTGCCACTGTCAAAAATAGAACAAAAATGCTGAAATATTTAGCAATATTTCAGAAACCACATTGGAATATTACCAGTATAGAATTTAACAAATTTAAAAATTTTCAACTAAGTTTTTTTTGCACAACTGTTTAAAAACTGCCTACACTTTTGAAAATGGCATGTTTAAAACATCATCATTACTCTGAAATTTTAATGTAAACATTAAGTGTAAGTGAAAACGCTACATGTGCTGCTGGTGGTGTGTATCACAAAGGTGCTTGATTTGAAATTTAATGGTGCTTTAAAAAGTCCTGTAGTCTGCAGTTCATGGAAGAATGGGAGCCCTGCATACGTTCTAGTATGATTTTCTTATCCCCCAATGATGGGTAGAGTTAGCGGTGGGGTTTGGGTTAATGTTTCTTTTTAAAAAGCGTACATTTTCATAAGAATGAATTTGTAGGAATTACCACTTTCTGATGATGCATAAAATAGTTCCGTTTCCTCATGAGATTGGGTGGAACAGTCACAAATATCTGTCCTTTTATTAATGTATATTTATAAATCCTCTTTTTTTGCATGACTGCTATAATGAGAGTTACTAACATAATAATTATCACAAGCATGGAGTGATACATAAAAAAAAATAAAAAAAACATAACCATGTGTAATAATAACACTGTGCATTGTTTACCTGTACAGGAATAACACATGCGTCAGTCTGGGCAGCTTGTATCTCATATCTGAGCGCGGCTGTACCTCCTCCACTTCGGACATCGGCTCAGGGTATCCTGCAGGGGCTCCATCTGGGCCTGGGCAGAGGCTGCGGAGCGATGGTCGGCGGGATATTTGTTAATTACTTTGGTATTAATGCTAACTTTTCTTCAATGATTTATTGCATTACTAATGCCAGGATGTACTCTATATAAACTGGAGGATGTCTTGTTTTTTCAGGCGTTGCCGAAACGTTCAGGGGAATAGGAATGGCCTCGCTTGTTATTTTGCTCATCTTTTCATTAATCATGTACATCACTGGCCAGAATGAGAAGAAAGGTGAGCAACACATTCATATTCATTCATTGTCCTTCAGCTTTATTTGTCAAGGGTTTCCACCGCGTAATGAACCGCCAACTTGTCCAACTCGTTTTACGCAGGGGATGCCCTTCCAGTCATAACCCAAACAGGGAAACACCCATACACACTCGTTTACACTCATACACTACCGCCAATTTAGTTTATTTTAATTCAGCTGGAGCTCAAAACCAGCGACCTCGCTGGAAGACGACATTGCTGTCCACTGAGCCACCGTGCTGCCCACATTCATATTCATTGATTATTATCCTTCAGTCAAATCTGATTTTATTTGAAATTGTTATTTTAGTTTATTATTACAAATATTTTGTGGCCTTGAACATCTAATACACATGTACATGAGAAAACACTGATGATGACTGTTGAAAATGTACAGCCAAAATGCTTACGTTTTCAGTTTTTCATGTTGTGTAAACAGCCCTCAGGATTTTTTTAATGACACCTGAGCTTTCTGTCCAATGTCTAGGTCTGTGTTTCTCAACCACGTTTTTGGAAGACCACCAGCACTGCATGTTTTGCATGTCTGTCACACCCAATGTTGATCTGAATTAGGTGTTAAATTAGGGAGACATGGAAAATGTGCAGGGTTGGTGTTCCTCCAGGAACGTGGTTAAGAAACACCGCTCTACAGTAGGTAAAAAAAAAAAAAAAAAAAAAAAAGCTTAAACAAATATGTTGAAATAAAGTGAGAAAACTTAATTTAAAATATCTTTATTGATGTTTTGAAGATCTCATGGCTTTGGAAGGACCATTTTTATTTTAGGCTAACTATCTCTTTTAAAAAATGTTGAACATGTGTGCTTTCATTTGATCTTTTTAACCCCATACTTGGACAAGCTTAAAAGATGCCACAAAATAAGCTGAGAAAACTTTTCAGGTTTGATTAAAAATGTCTTTATGTTTTGAAGATTTCCTGGCTTTTTGAAAGGACAATTATCATTTTAGGCAAACTGTCTTATTATTTATTTCAAGTTTTTATTGCAAAGAGATACACAACATCAGTAGACATTTGTTACTTTTCCAGCTTTTCCAGTTTAAATCCCCTAATCAGGGATAAAAGAGGAAACGCATTTCTTCATGACAGTAACAGAACAACATACAGTTGAAGTCAGAATTATTGGCCCCCCTGTTTATTTTTCCCCCCAATTTCTGTTTAACGGAGAGATTTTTTTAAACAAATTTCTAAACATAACAGTTTTAATAACTCATTTCTAATAACTGATATATTTTCTCTTTGTCATGATGACAGTAAATAATATTTGACTAGATATTTTTCAAGACACTTCTACACAGCTTAAAGTGACATTAAAAGGCTTAACTAGGTTAATTAGGTTAACTAGGCAGGTTAGGGTAATTAGGCAAGTTACTGTATAATGATGGTTTGTTCTGTCTATTAAAAAAATATATAGATTAAAGGGGCTAATAATTTTGACCTAAATGTTTTTTAAAAAATTAAAAACTGATTTTATTCTACACAAATTAAAACAAATCAGACTTTCTCCAGAAGAAAAAAAATATCAGGCATACTGTGAAAGTTTCTTTGCTCTGTTAAAAATCATTTGGGAAATACTTTAAAAAGAAAAAAAAATTCAATGGGGGGCTAATAATTCTGACTTTGACTGTATATCCTTTTGCATTATCTTACATCATTAATACCGACACTATTTACAGAAGAAATGGGGTGTGTGGATGCTATATTTACAGTAAAAATAAATCTTAAAGTTGTATAACAAACAGACATTTGGTTGAATAGGAGTAAGAGTAGGAGTGTTTTTGGTTATGCACACAGTATGTCATTTTCTTCATAATGAGTTTATTTTTAAAATGTCTATCCTATCCTGCATTTATGGTAAATTAGGCTTATACCAGCATCTAGTCACTCCGCTGCTAGTCCGTTTGCACTGGCTGCCAGTTGCTTCTCGCATCAAATTCAAAGCTCTGATGTTTGCCTACAAAGTGACTTCTGGCCTTGCTCCCTCTTATCTGCTCTCACTTTTGCAGATCTATGTGCCCTCCAGAAACTTGCGTTCTGTGAATGAACGTCGCCTCGTGGTTCCATCCCAAAGAGGGAAGAAATCACTTTCGCGAACGCTCACGCTCAATCTGCCCAGTTAGTGGAATGAACTCCCTAACTGCATCAGAACGGCAGAGTCACTCGCTGTATTCAAGAAACGACTAAAAACTCAACTATTTAGTCTCCACTTCACTTCCTAATCTGCAATTGCCTCTCTGAATATCACACTAACTGTACCCAAAAAAAAAAAATAATAATAATACTAATACTTTCCTTCTTAGACTTTACAGACCTGAAACTTGCCTACAGCACTTATTCATTGTTGCTTTTAGTTGTGTAAATTGCTTCCTTGTCCTCATTTGTAAGTCGCTTTGGATAAAAGCGTCTGCTAAATGACTAAATGTAAATGTAAATGTAGTAACAGTTATTTTACTTGAATCAAGGATGACTCTATACGTACAGGTGAAGTCAAAATTATTAGCTCTCATGTGAATTTGTTTTCTTTTTTAAATATTTCCCAACTGATGTTTAACAGAGCAAGAAATTATTCACAGTATATCCCATAGTATTTTTTTCTTTTGGAGAAAGTCTTATTTGTTTTATTTCGACTAGAATAAAAGCAGTTTGATCATTTTAAAACCATTTTAAGGTCAATATTATTATACAATAACTTGCCTACAGTATATACCCTATCTTCCCTAGTTAACCCAATTAAGCCTTTAAATGTCACTTTAAGCTGTATAAAAGTGTCTTGAAAACTATGTAGTAAAATATTTTGTACAGTCATCATGACAAAGATAAAAAAAAATCAGTTATTAGAAATGAGTTATTAAAACTATTATGTTTGGAAATGTGTTGAAAAAAATCTTCTTTCCATTAAACTGAAATTGGGGAACAAATACACAGGGGGGGCGAATAATTCGACTTCAACTGTACATTTGTTTTTCCTGCAAGCTATCTCTTTAAAAAAAATGTTGAATGTGTGCTTACATTTTATATTTTGAACCCCACAGAGGACAAGATGCTAGCAGAGAACATACCTATCCCGTCTAGCCCTGTTCCTATCGCGACCATCGACCTGGTTCAGAACACAGCGGACGTGGCGGCACCCGCTCGACCTGAACCCAAACTTCCAGCCCGCAAAACTCAACACCAGCAGGAGCAGGAGGATCTGAATAAACCTGCCTGGGTCCCGTCCGGCTCTCCGTGGGTTTCGGTCGCTCTCCTGGTTTACCAGATCAGAGAGATGGTGCTCTTGGCAAAAGCACGGCCCACTGTTGAGGTCCAGCCACTTCAGGTAGAACAGAGCTGAATCACTTATATGAATATCAGTTCAAAAAATGATTCATGTTTTCTCTTTTTCATGCATTCCATGGCAGAAAGGTGAGAACGCATAGATTTAGTTACATTAATTCAATGAGTATTCAAAGTCCAGGGTGTCTGAGAGGTTTAAAAACTAAATTTCAGGCCTTAAAAAGTCTTACATTTACAGAAATATTGTGTTGTAGGTTCTAAATCATTTTAAACAGGTCTTAAAATGCCTATGTCCATGTAAAGGCCAGTTCACAAAGGAACGCTTTTTGCTCGCATTTTTTGTTGATGTTTAACACCTTGTGACTAAACAAAGGGTGCTAATGTGATTTTGCACACCATCACGCAAAACACCAGGCGTAAAAGCCTAATTTTTAAAGAAACGCCTCATGCTTGTTTTTTTGTTTTGACACGCCACATCAAAAACTTCACCACCAATCAGATTGGCACTTTTGTTCAAGTACTCGAAGCTGCTGAAGTTACAATAAATTAAAGGCGCTCAAGTGCAAAACAGTCGAGGTGATCCTAGTTTCTTTTTCATTCAATGAAGAAGATGATACATCGAGGCAAGGTTGTTGCTAGATTGGATATGGCTGTGGCCGGAAGTTAATGAGAATTATTTTACCATTTATTCAACTTCCCATTTTTTGTATTTTATTAAAGTTTACACTCACCCCAACCCTAAACCCAACCATCACAGTTACGTAAAAACAGTAGTGGTATTGAGTATTATTTATGCTGTCTACCCCTACCCTAACCCTAAACCCCACATTCACAGAACTGTAAAAATATTTATTATTGTAATGGTAATTTTGCTCGTTTTGCAAAATCGCCTGGGTTTAAATGCAGAAAAGCATCCCAACTGAACACTGATGATAAACATGAGCGAAAGGCATCCCAGTGTGTTCTAAATCATACCAGCACTCATCAATCCATCTCAATGGAACGTTTAATAGTTCATTTGTTTAACACCAATATGATTCAAATGTCTTCCTCATAATGACATTTGTTAAAAAGTTCACCATGTATTTATGGTGGGGACACTGGCCTGGACAGACTGTTGTGCACACATCTAGTTCAGTACAGTTTTTTAAAAGTTGTCTATTTTGTTTACAACCACAGTTTGCTTGTTTTGACACATTATTTAATATATGTGGATAAGAAATAACTACATTTGAATATTTTTGATAAGGCAAGTAAAAATCTGTAGTGTTTAGCCCTGTATAAGTCTGAAATTTTATTCAAAATGGTCTTTAAAAGTCTTAACCCTGATTTTGTACAGCAATTTACAACCTCATATAATATTAAGTACTAATTTTTTTGTCTTATCAAGACTGCATTTATTTGATCCAAAACAGCAATATTGTGATATTATATGAAATATTTTTATGTTATTTATTTTTGGTGATGCACAGAACATTTTTTGCTGTTGAAAAGGTAAAGTAAAATAAAAATCTATTTAAAAAGCATTAATAACTAAAATAAAATAAAAACTATTTGCACAAAAACCCAAAATACGCTAGAGAGAATTTTTTATTTTAGTTTTTCGAACAGACATTGTCTAAATTTTATTTATTTCTGTCTTTGCTTTTGTTTTGTTTTTTTGTTTTTTTTTTGTTTAATAGGGATAATGAGGGAAAGAAATACACTTAAAATTTTAATTATTAAAGATATTTTAAATAAAATGTCTTCAATCAAATGTTTACAAACTCCCCAAACTTTTTGAACTAAATACAAGTTGTCAACTGAATTACTCAGCATCTGGAAGATCTAAAATCTGCAAACACAACATTGTCACGTTACTGAGATGCTAATTAAATGTGCTAAACTGATTATTCCTCTAACTAGGGCACAGATGAGGTCCGCTCGGACTCTCAAGAAGACCAATCACCTCCTGTCTTCAGCGACGCTGTGCAGAATGAAAACACTCCCAGTGGCCTTCAGGACCACTCCGGTTCACCCACTGCACAGCTGGATGTCCCAACACGGGATACACAGCCTCCATCACAACATATCAGCTGACACCAAAAACAAAACTGACCCGGTAACCACCGACTGCATTTTATTAAGACTTTTTTTTTTTAAATCTACGTTGGAAAACACAGGAACGGGTAACTTTTTAATGGCCTTGTAGGACTTCTAACTTATTTCCAGTTGTTTTGCACAAAAAAAATAAGAATATTAATAAATCCTGGTGGGTTTTAAAGTGTAACGTGTGGCTGTGTTTACTTGTATCCACCTCTAGAGGGCAGCAGAGGCAAACACAAGGCCTATATTAATAATTTCTTATTATCTTCTATGTGAAAATGTCAATTTATGCAGAGTTAAATAGGTAAAACCTTGTTAATATTTACACTTTCCTAACATCTACATCTTGTTTACTTTCACACGTTCGCCTTTGACTTGTAGGTGTAGGTGTGAAAGATTTTTATAAGGGGATTTTTTTTATTAAGATTAAAGTAACTAGCATTAGATTATATCACATTATAACTATCAGAGGTCAGTTATGTCGCGTTATCAAGCAAAGCAGACTGTAATGCTCTGCTTGTATATATACGGAGGTTTCCTGGTAATAAGATCAGATTGTTTGTCTACCATGTGCGAGAATTATTATTATGATTATTATTCCCAGAATTCATCTCTTTCAGTGGAATCAAACACCTTATTTGCAGCGCACACCCACTCACAGCACAGATTTCATCTACGGTGGGATTAGCTGTCACTAGCGCAATATGCCCTCAGACAACGCTCTGCCAAGTTCCGGATATCAGCTCAATGCAACTTATAATATCAGGATGTTTGAGTGAGACTAAAACGAAAGGTGTTTGACAACAAAATGCTTTGTTGTGTTTGCTTCTGTTCAGTTCAGTTTTGGGGATTTTAATTTGTTTCTTTTTGCTCTTGCTCATTTTTCCCCACTGTTTAGTTGTGTTTTTTGCTGATTGTTTTGCTTTTTCTGTTCCTTTTTATTGATTTTTTTTCTCTTTCTTTTTTTTGTTTGTTTGTTTTTGTCATTTTATTTAGGTTTCTTTAATGTTTATTTATTTTTTGGGGGGGGGGGGTATTTTGAAGGTTTTATTTATTTATTTTACTTTGTTTAATTTTAGTGTTTTTTATTTATGGTTTAATAGTTTTTTTTGTTGTTGTTGTTTTTTGCTTTTTTATTTGTTTTTGTTTCATGTTTAATTTTGATGGTCTTTTTATTTAGTTTTTATTACATGTTTGTTTGCTGTACGGGCCTTTTTGGTCAGCTTAGTTTCATGTATTTTGTTTCATATTGCATTTTGTTTGTTTATGTTTTGTTTCTGTTGTACAGTTTTGTTGTATTTTTATTTTATTTACTTTTTTACCTTTTTTGTTTAGTTTGTTTTTTGTTAGGAGGTCTTTTTATAAATTTTCCTACTTTCAGGTTTTTAGTTTAGTCTGTTTTTTATTTTATTTATTACTTAAATTATGTATTACTATATTTAAAATCAGAATTATTAAACCCTTTGACTTTTTCTTTCTTTATTAAATATTTCCTAAATTATGTTTAACAGACCAAGGATATTTTCACAGTATGTCTGATAATATTGTTTCTTCTAGAGAAAGTCTTATTTGTTTTATTTCGGCTAGAATAAAAGCAGTTTTTAATTTTTTAAAAACCATTTTAAGGTCAAAAAATATTAGCCCCTTTAAGTTATATATATATATTTTTTTTTTGATAGTCTCGATAATAGTTTTAATAGTAATACAAACCATCATACAATAACTTGCCTAATTACCCTATTCTGCCTATAACCTAATAAAGCCTTTAAATGTCACTTTAAGCTGTATAGAAGTGTCTTGAAAAATATCTAGTCAAACATTTTACTTTCATCATGGCAAAGATAAAAGAAATCAGTTATTAGAGTTATTAAAACTATTATGTTTAGAAATGTGTTGGAAAAATCTTAAACAGAAATTGGGGGAAAAAATAACTGGGGGGGGTAATAATTCTGACTTCAACTTTGTATATATGTATACAGTATATTTTCATTTATTTATTATGCTTTGTTTTGTAAACAGATTGCTTGTATTTTTCTCCTAACTGCGTCCTGTTGGTCATGGAATATCTTGGAATTTTAAAAGATCTGTGCCAGACATTGATATCAGGGATTTTTTATTTATTTTATCCAAGTTATGTAATATCAGAGATTTCTGTTTGTCACTTTAAATATTAGTTCCCATTTCTCAAAATTTTTCAAAACTGTGTTGTTTAACGTATTGTTTCCTGCATGTTGGTAGGGTTAGGCTATTTTTAGCTCCATTTTATTCCTTTCACACACAAGTCGATGCAAAGTTATAAGTCTTGCATGTCATTATAATATAATTTTTGTAAATTTAATTTAAATAATAGTTTAGTAATTAAAAATGTTTGCATTTAAAATTATCATTCCAAAGAGTGGGTGGTAAAAGACGACAGAAAAACAAAATGTAAAACAACTATGGAGCTATCAAATATGAGGGAGCAATTTGCAGTCATGCAAAGAGTAAGTACTTGAGATTTGTCTTCCAAAATCTGAGGTAAATGAGTCATTGTTCTTGTCACAGTGGCTATTTTAATGCTGCCAAATGATATTCTTAATATTATAATGCAACAGCCTCTTTTTTCATTCATTATAGGTCACGGAAATTCAGCTTTTCATTTAGAGAGTTCGATACTGGGTCTTGAATGGGAGACCCACACTAAAAATACTGGCTTCTACACAATACCTCCATGTCATCCCAACACAAATCGATTAAGTTAACATAATTGTTCTTACAAATTGATGTGGATTAAATATAAACCATTAAGTTGTCCAGAAAAACATCTCAAGATTTGTGTAGATTCAGCTCAGCATAAATAAGGAACAAGCATCTAAAGTCATTTATTTGAGCGACGGTTCTGTTTCTCTTCTTATTGCTATGTTTTTATACAATAGTAAAAATATAATTCATGCCTACGTTAGCATTGCAGTTGCATTCATTTTGGAAACCAGGCAGAAAATAGTCTTGAACAGTTGTGTCTCGATGGGAATTCGTATCAGAATGATGTGCACAGAGTGAATGTGACAGACGTCAGGTATAGGTTTGGTGGGGTCTGGAAGGGTTGAGTCATTAGCTGAAGAGACTGCAGGTGACTGACATATACTGATGCAGACTCCCACCTCTGCCTGACTCGCATAACTAAAACATTCACGGGTGCTTCTCTGCTTGGGCTTACCTCCTTCATGTTTCCTTTTGCTTGTATGTTGGTTTTCATATTTGGTTTGTTGTCTTGTTTTGTGTTTTGTTCAGTGATGTGTTTTTGTTTTGAGATGATGTTTGTATTTAGTTTATGTTTCTTTGTTTATGTTTGTTTTGTCTTACATTTGTTAAGTACATTACTCTTTCTTGTTAGATAATTGTTTTAGTTTTTCACGTTGAATTCTTTTCTTGGTTCAAGTTTTGTTTTGGTGAATGTTGACTTTCTCCTTTTTGCTTTGATTTTATTTTGTTTAAGTTGTTTTCTTGTTGTGAATAATGTTTATCGGTTCACCTTTTTCTTCCAAACGCCATAGCATTTTATCAGTTTTCTCCAAAGTTTAATCTCCAGGTTTCTAACCCCCATCCAAAACTGCTGATCCGGAGAATAGTGTGGCTTTCAGAGTGAATATTTCAGCGGCCTTCAAACACTGAGTGTGGGCCGCCACCGCCTGCTCACAAATTCCTTAAGCCAACATCCGGCCCAAGCTAAGGCTTATTGGGGAAAAGCATAATGTCCTGTCTAAGAGGTTGCTGAATGGCCTTTCTGATCTTCAAAGAGATCCCAATCAGGTGCCAAAAGTGAACAACAAAAGGTACTAACAATATACTGAACTGTAATAGCCTACTATAGAAAATCATGATGGTAATGTTTTGTCCACGTCTAAATTGTTCTCTCCACTTTGAAAATAGGCTCATTTTGAAGCTCCCAAGTGATAAATATTTGAGTTTTACCATTGTTAAACCCATATAGCCGATCTCTGGGTCTGATGGGAGCACTTTAGCTTAGCTTAGCATAGATCAAATACTATAGAAAATCATGATGGTAATGTTTTGTTCATGCCTAAATTGTTTTCGCCACTTTTTTGTTTTCTAAAATATGCTAATTTCATAGCTCCCCTAGAGATAAGTATTTGAGCTTTGACATTTCTAAATCCATTAAGCTGATATTTGGGTCTGATGGGAGCACTTTTAGCTTAGCTTAGCATAGATCAAATAATATAGAAAATCATGACGGTAATGTTTTGTCCATGCCTATATGGTCCTCGCCACCTTTTTTGAAAATAGGCTCATTTTACAGCTCCTCTAGAGATAAATATTTAAGTTTTACAATTTTTTTAACCCATTCACCTGATCTCTGGGTCTGATGGGAGCACTTTTAGCTTAGCTTAGCATAGATCAGATACTTTAGAAAAATTATAATGGTAATGTTTTGTTCATGCCAAAATTGTCCTTGCCACTTTTTTTGACAATAAGCTCATTTTAAAGCTCCCCTTTAAGATAAATATTGGCGTTACCATTTTTAAAGCCGATCAACCGATCTTTAGGTCTAATAGGAGAACTTTAGCTAAGCTTAGCATAGATCAAATACAATAGAAAATCATAATGATAATCTTTTGTCCTCGCCACCTTTTTTTTAAAAAAAATAGGCTCATTTTACAGCTCCCCTAGAAATAAATATTTAAGTTTTACTGTTTTTTTTAAGTCATTAAGCCGATCTCTGGGTCCGATGGGAGCACTTATAGCTTAGCTTAGCATAGATCAAACACTAGACAATCATGATGGTAATGTTTTGTCCATGCCTAAATTGTCTTCGCCACTTTTTTTGTTTTTGAAAATAGGCTCATTTTACAGCTCCACTAGAGATTAATATTTGAGTTTTACCATTTTTAAACCCATTTGGCCAATCTCTGGGTCTGATTGGGAGCATTTTAGCTATCATGATTTTCTATAGTATTTGAACTATGCTAAGCTAATTAGCTTAGCATAAATACTATAGAAAATCATGATGGTAATGTTTTGTCTCTGCCTAAATTGTCTTCACCTCATGTTTTTGAAAATAGGCTCATCTTACAGCTCCTCTAAAGATAAATATTTGAGTTTTTCTATTTTTTAAACCCACTCAGCCGGGTCTGATGGGAGCACTTTTAGCTTAGCTTAGTTTAGCATAGAT